ATTCGAACATATAAATGTGACCCTAAATTAAATTAAGTTTAATTTAGTTAAATTAAGTATATTTTGTTTTAATATTATTGTTATTTATATATAAATAAAAAACAAAAAAAATCCTGAACATATTTACCATTTATGCTTTTCTAAAGAGAAAATCATTTTATTCGAACATCTAAATGACCCTAAGTTAAATTTTTAAATATTTCTGTATCCAAAGTGTAACATTCTTTCTCTCTCTCTCTCTTACACACACATATATATTCACACATATGCATATACATATTCATACACGTTATATATAGTAATGGTAAGTTTAAAGATTCGCACGGTCGTGGGTGATGGAGGAATTCCGCTTAAATTCAGTAATTTTCACGTGTTATTACCTGACATTACGTAAGAATGCAAGGTTACACAACAAGTTCGTTTATCACGGTCTTCATTTAATCGTTTCCGTCGAGCTCAGGTCTTTATCGCATTTATCCTTTTGCTCTTCTTGCAACCATATCCATGACCCCCCTCACCCCCTCGCCACCACCACCACACTCAATACCATTTTAGGAATCTTACGTGTTAATTTCGCTTGTTAAATGTGCGTTATGACGGAAGTTTCACTCTCTTTCGTGAAACGTGTTTTGAATTATTAAAACAATGGTCAGCCTATGTGTAACATCATTTTCTTTTCAAATATTTTTTACATTTATTTCATTAAACCTTTTATAGTTTTTAATATTGTCAACTAAAGTGTTTAATATAAGGGAAACTTTATTATTATTATCTGCAAAGTTTTCATAAAATGGCAAAGAATGCGATGCTGTAAATTGTACAACTTTGTCATTTCTTTGAAAAGTTTCGGCAAATATTTTTTATACTTAGAGTTAATAGATTTTAATGAAACTTATATTAAAATAAAGTACACTCTTTTATCTACAAGGTGAATATTTATTTGAATTATAAATCAATCTGCAAAGGCTTCGGAAATGTCAGAGAATACAATGCTGTAAATTGTGCATCTTTGCAATTTCTTTGAAAAGTTTCGGTTAATATTTTTTATACTTTTCGCTAATAGATTTCAATCATTTTTATATTAAATTAAAGTACATTCTTTTCTGTACGCGAAGAATACTCTTTTGAGTTATAAATCAATCTGCAAAGGCTTCGGAAATGTCAGAGAATACAATACTGTAAATTGTGCATCTTTGCAATTTCTTTGAAAAGTTTCGGTTAATATTTTTTATACTTTTTGCAAATGGATTTTAATGATTTTTATATTAAATTAAAGTACATTCTTTTATCTACGCGTTGAATACCTTTTCGAGTTATAAATCAATTTGCAAAGGTTTAGAAAATGTCAGAGAATGCGATGCTGCAAATTTTTCCTACTTTGCCATTTCTTTGAAAAGTTTCGGCAAATATTTTTTATACTWWWMGYRAATAGATTTTAATRAAACTTATATTAAATTAAAGTACACTCTTTTATCTACAAGTTGANTTGGAACCTAGGCCGGTATTGTTAACAATGCCTGGTTTTAGGCATTGCTCACATTGCCTAGTCCGCCAATTTTCCTTTGCCATTTTTTGAACCTTTGCAAATTGTTTCATAATACAAATTTGTACTCTACGTATAGAGAAAAGAATGCACTTTAATTTAATATAAGTTTCATTAAAATCTATTCACTCTAAGTATAAAAAATATTTGCCGAAACTTTTCAAAGACATGGCAAAGTTGGAAAAATTTGCAGCATCTCATTCTTTGCTATTTTATGTA